CTACAGCCAAATCGAAGATATGAAAAGTGATTCGGTGGTACTACTTTTTGGATCTGATGTGTATAATGCCACCAGGGAATCCAATAGGTCCACACCACCCATAAAGGCGTTGTACAGAATAATGATGGAAGGGCATTCCACCTCAATATCCTTCTTCTCTTTCTTGTCCCATTTTCTGACCTTTTTTACTAGCTCTACTGCAGCAAAGGTACTAAGAAGAGTCAGAGCTTTGTTGTCCATCCATCTGACAGCATTCAGCTGCACACCATCAAAAACTCCGGTTTTCAGTACAACAGAACCTCTTCCTTTTTTTGATAGCTCTTTGTCTGGAGGAAATGTGCAGCCTTTTAAACGATTGGGACGGACAGTTCCCACGCTCGCTATTCCTTCTTTCCATAATAGCACTTGGAGGAGAATAGAAGTGAACCAATTATCGAAAAATACCTGATGCCAGCAATGTCTAGGAACATCTTGCATAAGTCTAAAAACTATATTGCCTGATGCACCTAGATCAGTTTTTCCAGGGCAAGGTTGGATTTGGCCGACATAGAACTCAAAATTGTGAATGAGGCCAGTGCTACCTGAGCACACAAAAACTTTGTATCCCCACTTCTTTGGCTTTTTAGGATTATATTGTTTAAGTGATGATTTTCCTTTGAAAGGTATTATTTGTTCATCAACGCTCATCATTTTGATTTTTGAATGCTGTTGACGCTGGCCTTGAAAACATCTAAAAGTGGTTTGACTTTATGGAGTTTATCTCCATTGTTGTTTTCATTATTTGAAAAATACAAAAACCTTTTGATTTCTTCAAATCGTTTTTGGCTCATAGCGTCAGCCACACAATGAACTCTTGTATCAGGGCTCCAGTATAATCTGGAGCGTGGTAGGCGATCTACACTCATATAAAAGATAATCCCTAGAAACTGTTCTAGCTCGTCCATTGTAATATTGGCAGGTTTATTAATGCCCTGCTGTAGGCTGTACCGGTTAGATTCTGTGACGATGTTCTCAAAGGTTCCTTTGGTAAATATTTCCCTGAAGTATTCAATTGGCTCACGCAAGAGCCCAGGTTCTCTCTCTGTCCCAATGAAATTTGGTATATCTGAGGACCGATCAGCATGATCAGTTCTTTCTCGCCAAATATGAGGCCTTAAACTGTTGGCTAATGGTTGGCTGCTGGCTGGAGCATCCTCTTCAGCATCACCATCATCTACAAAAATGTAAATTCATAAAGCATTTGAAAATGCTACCAAAATAAAAAAATAACAGTGTTGAGACTAGTGCTGCTTATATTATAGGCCTAAACACAAGATTTTATGGTAATTAGATGGGAAAATTAAATCTAACCATCAGAGTTTGAGCTATCAGAACTTGACAAGTTGTGATCCTCTTCAACTTCATCTTCCTCACAAGATAGCTCACTGTCCTCTGAATCCTCGGGTAATTCTCTGATGATAATGTTTTTCTTAGACTTTCCGTAGAATGTGACAGGATCCATTTTTATTCTATTATAATACCTATAAAAAAAAGTAAATTTTTTTTTAAATTACATCTACAAGAAAAATATAAACAGATCAATGGGGATTCGGCTTAGGCTTGGTACTTAGAGTTGACATACTTTTACAATGTAGACCTTAGCCTAAGCTTTTACATGCCCTAACTTCTAACCTACTTTATTACTTAAAATTGACTAAATTGTATTTCTAATTAAATTTATTTTCAGAAACTTTGTGTCAAAGTTACCACATATCATAAATTAAATTATATTCTGATGAAATAAATGATACAAAAATAAAAAATTAAAAGGATCCAATCAATAGGTCTATGAAAAGTTGAGGTGCTATATCTTCGAAAAAAGTACCCTCCTATTGCGCGTTGTTGCCTTTTGGCTACACAGCATTTAAACCGTATATTTCAAAATAATATGTATAAAAGTAGTGTATTATAACGTATAAATATATTTGAAGATATCATAACAATAATAATATTTTTTTGAATGCAAATTTTGATCAAATAAATATATAAACCGACCTTTTACAAATGATAGAAACAAGGCGCCGTGCTGCTGATTCGTGAAATACAACGCGTTGCTAAAAAAATGTACGCAAAAAGTTGTGACGTCAAATGCAAGAAAAGATGATAAATAAAAGGGAAATCACTAAAAAATTAATGATATAACAAAACAATAGTAGTTGTCTGTTCATTACTAGTGCGTTGCCATTTGGCTACACTGTACCATATAAGGATATACATATATATATATATATATATATATAATATATATATATATATATATACATATATATATATATATATATATATATATATATATATATATATATATATATGTATATATATATATATATATATATATATATATCAGGGCTGTGGAATCGGAGTAGGAGTTGTGGAGTTGCAATATCTTTAGTGGAGTTGGAGTCACTTAACAGAATCGCGACTTCGATTCCAATAGTAAAACTTCTCGGTATTGTACAACGCGCATGTTCAAAACATTCAATTAAACTAATGTTTATATTAAACCGCAAAGAACGTTTCATAAATTTGCCGAAAAATTTTTTTTATCTTATTGCGTAATATTTTTTAAAGAACTCAAAGAATTTTTCAAAAAATTTGTTTTGGAGTTGTAGTCGGAGTTGGAGTCGGAGTCTGAGTTGTTTTCAAAAAATTTCAACAACTAGAGTCGGAGTCGGAGTCGTTACTTTTTTTTTACGACTCCACACCCCTGATATATATATATAATATATATATATATATATATATATATATATATATATATATATATATATATATATATATATATATATATATATATATATATATATATATATATATCAGGGGAGTGGAGTCGTAAAAAAAATGTAACGACTCCTGCTCCGACTCCAGTTATTGAAATTTTTGACAGGTATCTATTCTCCCTTGAAATATTGTATGAAAATTAATTTCAAAAAAGAGTTACATCTATAATAGTAGTTTTTATTTAAATATATTATGAACTCTCTAATGATGTCTTTTAAAATTTAAAAACTAAAAATCTTTTTCGAATGCAAGGGGCATTTAACGGTGAAAAGAAAAAAAATAAAAAAGAAAAGGCATAGGAAATTTTTTTTGAAGTATAAAAAAGATGAGTTAAAAATAAAGTAAAATAAGAAAATTATTGAAAGGTATAAACAAATTAAAATATTAACGAAAAGTAAAAACACGAAAATGAATAAAAGAACAAACAGATTTAATGAAACAAAAACAAAACAAAAAAATTTATTGAAAGTAAAGGACCAATTTAAAAGAAAAATGTAAGAAAAAAGTTCAAAATAATAATAGAAAGAACTAATTAAAACGTAAAATTAATCGCTACCAATTTTTCTACACCTTTTTATTCCGGCAAAAATAACAATAGATTATTATTATTCTTTTTTTTTATTTTGTAGAAGTTTTTGTATTTGCATTTTCGTTTTTGCTTTCATTTTGTAGTCTTTTTGTTTGGGTAAAGTTTTTTTTTTATTTGTGCGTTTGTTGCTAATTATTTTTATTGTTGTTCTCTGTTATTCTATTTTACCAAATTTTTTACACCTTTCTTTTTTCGCCAAAAATAACAAAAGATTGTTATTATAATTTAATTTTATTTATATAGTTTTTGTCTTTTTGTTTGCGTAAAGTTTGTTTTTATTTGTGCTGTTTTGCTAATTATTTTTATTTTTGTTTTTATTTTATATTTTATTTTATATATATATATATATATATATATATATATATATATATATATATATATATATATATATATATATATATTGTTTGTGTTGTTAATGAGTGTTTTCATATTTTTTGACTTATTATTTAACTTATTATATCTTTATCGTTATTATTGTTATTATTATTATTATTATTATTATTATTATTATTATTATTATTATTATTATTATTTTAAAATTGATTTAATTTACGCAAGCTTTTATTTATTATTATTGGAGTTAATTTTTTTGTTTGTTTGTTTTTGTTTAGGTGTCACTCCAATGACTAGTTTTTAACTATAACCGAATTTTGTTGAATAAAAAAACTTGCTATTTTTCAATTTTTGGTTGAATAAGTGGATAAAAAAAAAGAAAAAAAAAAAGAAAAAAAAAGAAGGAAACTTGAAATTTCAAATTATACTTCAAATATGAAGTCTGAAGTGTAATGCAAGAATCAAACTTGAAATGAATTTGTTCTTGAAAAATTAGATTTCAAGCCGTTTTTTGAACTTCGGTAAAACCAGTCGTGAAAGCAAACTTGAAATAAAAAAAAACAATAGCCATTATCATTTTGTAAATATGTGCTAAAGAGTTATATAGAATTTTTGTCAGTTTACTTATTTCATGAGTGAATTACTTATGATCATTATTTATATACTATATAAATACATTTACAACATACTACAACAACTGTCAATAGTATTTCGGTTTTATGCTACTGGTTCATTTCAAATGAGAAATTTGTATATATTATCATCATAATTCCTTTGACATCATATTTCCTTCGACATGCTGTTGATGATAAACCTACAGAAGTACTTCTGTAGGTTTATCATCATCTTTCTGATTAAATTACAGAAAGAGAAACACATAAAACATATATAAATAATACTTTAATTTCATAAAAAGCTAACCAAAAGCAAATTAGCTATTGCTTCCTTTTAAGTAATTGAAGTTTTATATTTATACAAGTTTTATATAAAAGATGTTATTAATAACAATGTAAGTATATGTGTGTGTATATACTTAAGTATATAAACACACATATACTTATAATTTTATTAAAAACTTTTTGTATATCAGCTATTGCTTTTTAGGAAATTCAAGTTTTATTTATTTAAAAAAAATGCTTTTAATTTTTTTAGATTTGACGAACATTGAATAATCCATAAAATTTTGTTTATTAAAATCAGTGTATTAATGTAACATTTTTTGTTACACTAATATTTTTTTTACATTCATTTTTTTTTAATTTTTATTTTAATGTCATAATACTTTTGTTATTTTTTTGGCTTTTCTTGTAATTCAAGTTTTCTGATAATATCGAAAACCTTGCTTCAAATATGAACTTCAATGCCTCATTTGGTCATTTCGTATATAATAAAATTGATATTGTAAAATGTTGTATGTAAAGAGCAAGAATGAAAGTTTGTTTTATATCAATAGTTGTATCCTAAAACTAACTATGAGGTTTTTCGAAACTTTTATTATTCCCATAAAATGTTAAAATAAAATGATTTAAATGAATTTAAATGATTTAAATGAATTGAAATTAAATGATTTTGTGGCAATATTTTCAAAATATTATCTCTTGTTAGGATATTAGAGTTTATTTAGGCCAGTTTTACCAGTCTTCTGCCCTCTCCTCTACTAAAATTCAAAAAATAAATAGGTTTATTCAGCCAATTATTATATATTAATAATTGTTTATACTATAAACTTATAAATGCAAAAAACTTTTTCTCTAATTCATATATTGAACCAAATAGCAACACTCTTCCTCTCACTTCAATGATACAAGCCAGCTCAAACTAAGGAGCACTTTTTTCCAAAGCATCCTTATTTGACATCAGTATAAACAAATAATTGTTTTGAAACAAATAATTGTTTACTCCGGGAGGTTAGCTATCTCAAAAGTCATAAAATGCTGGATTTGCCCATGATTAAAACAGATTTTGATTAAATCGTTTTACTGCTGACTTGTTAACCGTATCGCTGACTTGTTAACCGTTATAACAAAAATGTTCTGCCGAACATTAGACAAAATCTAACACTTGTTAACCGTTTTCTTTAACAGATTTTGGTCTCTACCTCTATGTACATCATACTTGTCCTAGTATTGAAAACTGTTGTCATAATTTTCCGCTAACTCCCAACGTAATTAGTATGTTGCTTGCAGCCTTGTTGAAGTTAAATTTTTTTTATAATAAAAATTTCAACAAGAAAAATTGATAATAAAAACTTTGTGTTCGACATATATGCTTTGCTGATAACCGTATAGCAAACATACCATTTGAATGTTAAGCAGCTGTTACGTCTTAGTAAAAGTCTTGGACTAAGTAGAAGGTAACACAAGCATGTTCATTTAAATCCAGTAATTTTTTTAAATCCAGTGATTTTTTTATTATATTACCAAGTTTTGTTAAAAATAAAGTACAAAAGTAAAAATTGTTATTTTAGTAACACTTTTTAATTTATTTTCGTAAGTTTATATTTAAAAAAAATAAACTCAGAAGTATTATTTAAAAATATATAGTTAGTTTGTTTTATTTAAATGGTTTTTCTTTATCAAATATTCTGCCGCAATTGGTTGAAATTTTTATTTTTTCCGATTCCGTTATCAAATCAACGCCTTTTAAGTTTGACATTCTCAAGCGCGATCTTAAAATTTTCAAGTTTCGTTTACGCATTTGCTCAAGCTTATTTTTGAAGTCTAACTTGACAAAGTCAGACTTCAAAGTACATGTCGAACTTCACTCAAGTTCGTTTCTTGCATTCCACCCTTAAGACTGTTATATATATTTGCATATTTGTAAACAAGGCTGTTATTCACTGAGCGGAGAACAGCCTTGTTTACAAATATATATATATATATATATATATATATATATATATATATATATATATATATATATATATATATATATATATATTAAATCATTTAACAAATTTATACATTCTGTAGTTAGTACTTGTTCTACAAAAAACGTCGAAGAACTTGAAAAATAATTTTAGAAAATGTTTCAATCGAAGACGAGCTCTTACAAGATCTGAAGCTGAAGCTCTTTCCTTGCCAAAGTGTAAATACTTAGATTAGATGGTTTTCCTTCATGAAAAAAGTTTTAACAAACCAACTGAGTGTAATGTAAAATTGAATACTGAATTGACAAATTCTAAAAAACTAAATGATAATAATATTAGTTTGACCACAGAATTGACAACCTTGCCTACAATTTCTCATCCTTCAATCTTTTTTAAACATGTACGCGTAAATAAGAAACGTAAATCAGTTATAGAAAAATCTAATAACCTTTTTTTAAAGCAAGTATAAGAACTTGACAATCACATAGTCGATTCTTTGGAAGAAAAAAACAAAACAACCTGAGCAATGTCTTCTTTTTGTAATAGTCTCATTCTTGTGTTGCAAGGATTACCAACAAAAAAGGCAAAATTAGCCAAGTTAAAAATAAATCAACTTTTATTTGAAATAGAATTTGGAGTCGAATACGAAGACATTTAAAATGTATAGGTTGTATTTATTTTTCTTTTAAAGAAAAAAAAGGCAAAAATCTAATTATTTTTATATTTACTCCTAATAAACTTTAATGTTTGATTTCATTTTACTCGCTTTACGGTATCTAATTGCCAATCTACTGCACCTTATTGATTGAAGAATTTTTCAAAGGAGTCCCTTCCTTTGTTTGCAGTGTCAGATTAGTTATTTGACGTGTTATTTATAGCAACTAAGCCGTTACACTTGGCCCCTCTTTTCTCCAATCACCAAGTTGTATTCTAGTTGGTCCATCCTGATCAACATAGTTTGAAGGGAAGTAACTATTATTGTTATTTACATTTTTTAGTCATTAAAAAAATATGTAAAGCAACTACAGCCTTTGTTATTGCAATAACATTTTCAACATTAGCTATAATTGGTTTATAAAAAACACGAAATCTACTTGAAGCAATACCAAAGGCATTTTCAACAACTCTTTGTGCTCTACTAAAACTATAGTTAAAAACAAGTATATCAGTTGAAAGATTTTTAAAAGCAAGGGCTTCATCGTGTGTCTTTTTAATCCAACTGCGTCATCTGCGACGAAAACATAGGGCAAAATTTTTTGAGAACTATTAGATATTTTTCAATCTTTTGGAATTTTTAAAATGTTGTTCTCTAAGGCAAATCCTAATTGACTTTTGTTGTAAAAACACTTTCATCACTTTGTCTGCCACTATCGCCAATATCTACCAAAACAAAGCGGTACTTCGTATTAGAGACGGCCATCAATACTATACTATGTGTCTCTTTATAGTTAAATAGCTTGATCCTGATTGAGATGGAGCAAATATTTGAACATGCTTACCATCAATGGCACTAACACAATGTGGGAAGTGCCATCTGATTTTGAATTCATATGCAATTTTTTCCCACTCAGTTTCAGAATTAGGCGCTTTTACGTATTCTCCTAACAAGTTGTTCCAAATAGCATTACAAGTTTCATAATCTATTCTACCAACAGTGGTTGTGACATTCAATAATTAGCAGCTACTGAAGTGCTTGCATCCCTAGTTGCCAAATATCTTACTGTTATCGCAAGTCTTTCTTGCGCACAAATAGGTTTACGCATTTTAGTATTAGGTTTTGTTATATCATGAGCCACGATTCGTAAAAGTTTTTCAAAAGTTGAAGGAGACATTCGAAAATATCGGAAAAAATCTCGTGATCATGAAGTGTTAAATCATTAAAAAGAATATATCTTCCTTTTAACTTTCTCTCGTTGTAAGTCTTTCTCATCTAAAAACGTCTTTTTTTCTTTTTTCTCTTTGCCATACATAAATATTCATGTTGAAACTTTCTGACAAGAAGAAAAAATCTCAAAATTTTACTACTTTTAATAAAAAAACGCTTTTGTTTTAAGTAGATATTGACTCATTTTCGCTGCAAACATATTTGATTCACTTGCGCACGAGGAGCAGCAAAACATACCGCCCGCCGCGACATTTTTCGCTTAGCGAGCCTTAATATATATCCGTTTATATCTTAATATATATCCGTTTTAAAATATGCGTGTCACTGTGCACGAAATACTTGTACATAGAGCGGAACTTATAGAAACGTACCCTTTTCTAGTTGTACAACAATCGGAAGAGTCTCAAGGAGCCCGCAAAGAATTTTGTCAATTTCGCGAGCATCATACAAGAAAAACTCATGTATTTCTACAAATATGGATTTGCTCAATATGCTTTTGGTAACAAATAATGTCATCAAAACTCACACAGCGAATTGTCAAGTAAGAAAACCAGTAAATTACCATTGAAAGTTTTGAATTTAATTATCTCTCCTATAATACCCCCACAACTGCTTGGTAATACAATTCTGTGCGACGACGAAGATTTTTTAGGATCCGATTCTTCGGATAGTGAAATAACACCGATTCATCCAATGATAATTGTTGAGAAAATACTTTTTTATTTTACGGTGTCAGCTGAACTATAGTTAGTATATATATACTTTTTTTTTTTATAGCAAAATTTTGTTATATAATTTATGTTGAAATAAAGTAATTATTTTTATTACTTATTTTTTTTCAATATCAAAATTACCTAAAATTTAAAAATGATCAAAAAATGCATAACTAATCAATAAAACATCAAAATATCATTAACTACATTCTTAAAAACCAAAGCGCAGAACAAAATTTTTTTGTCGACCTAGCTTTTATAAAGCAATACACAGTGTACTGGTGTGTAACAATGTTAAACGTGTCGTTTGAAACAATATTAAATGTGTCGTTTGGTAACGTCTAATCTAGTCAAATACCGCGTAAAAGCTAAATATCTAATGCACGGAAATATGTTTATTATTCATTCTATTCTTAAAAAAAAAAAAAAAAAAAAAATTAATAATCATAAAAAAGTAATTCTTGCGATTAATCTTGTACGCTACTTCAATATCAACGATGCTTTTCACAATAAGAAAAAGCCGATCCTTCACACTCGATATAAAACGCATTGTCAACAGGAGTAACCTTGAACTTAGCCTAAAAAACATAAATAAAATATGAAACAATCTCAGTCACATAAAGAAACACAAAATAAGGAGCTACAGGCTGGCGTTGAGTAAAACACCATAAGTGTTACAACATGTTTAATAAAGCATAGTGATCTTAAACAAAAAAAATTCTATAAAAATATCACCAAAGCCAATTTCTACATAATTGCCAAGTTCCAAATTGCATTTAAAAAATTACAGACTACTTCCTTCCTTTATGTGTATATTTTTCTAAAACCAGTTTTGAATTCAGACAATTGAGTACAAAATAGATTCCCAAACAGTGTTTGGTGACTTTTATTTCTAATTTTTATTTGAATCAAGACCACTGTGAAAAGAAATGCCAAAACTGCAATAAAAGCATTTTACCGTGGTCATCTTCTCTGATAAAAATATTGCAGTTTGAGTGTGTAAAGTTATTGGTCCGGTTCTTATCTTTGAACAACCTTCTGAAAGTGCCATTAACAAAATTAACTGATCTTGCAAATAAGTATCCACACACGCGCCTAGTTTGACTTCTTTTACAAGCATTTCTGCAGCTTCCACTCCAACACAAGACGAAGGTTTTCCTAAAAAAAAAAAAAAAAATTATTCCATAAATGTAGTATATAGTAAATACTTTGATGTCTACATAAATTTGCAACAGCTGATATATGCCAATAAATTATACAGGTATAGTTTATTGATATAAACCAATTCAGGTTATTTTCTTTATATGAAATACAAGACTGAAATACACTAAAAATAATGAGACATATTAGAAACAAATAAAAGCAAATTTTGTAATCAGGGAATACTATAAGTATGAAACAGTTTATTAAGCTTAAAACACTTTAAAAAACCACAACTACTAAAATAAAAGCTCATCTCCGTTAGATTAAAATCATCACCGTTAGATTAAAGGAATAATTTTGGAATGTTAAAGTTCTTTTATTTTAATAGATTAAACAACAAGAGCATGATTGACGGAAAGTTTTTTTTGTTTTAATGAAAAAGTTCTACGATAAATGACAATTACAGTTAATTCCCAATAGCTTGAACCTTCGTGGGACCAAGGAAAATAGTTTTTATTTAAAAATCACAAGAATTAATAAAAATACAAACAATTTTACGAAATAGAAATTAATAGAAAAAGGGCTTGAAACGGGTGGACAGATTGACAACTTTACATAAGCAGCACTGAAAAGCAAAATTTTGAAATGGCGCCATACATTGATAACAATACTAAAATGTATACTATTTTGTGCTGAAGATGAAGGTATATTTCAGTTTGATGTTGGCTTTAAAAATTCCCTTGAATCACATATAAAAAATTATACTTGATGTTTTTCGCCTACAATCCGGAATGAATTTATTAATTTATTACCAGCAAAAGTATAAAGTGTAATAATAAAAGAAATTCAAGTTAACCATTATAGTATAATATTTAATAGCATTCCGGATGCATCACATGAAGACGAAATAACTAAAACTATTCGGTTTGTGAAACTTTCAGATAAATAGTATACCATTGAAAAGAGGTTTGTTGGTTTCATAAACACAACAAAAAATGAAAATGTTTTATTACTTGAAGATGTATGAGGCTAAAGCTGCAATAATGGGTTCAACATGGCAGGGAAGTAGGGTAGATTAGGGTAATATGAGCAAATTAAGCGAAAATTATAATATTTTTAAAAATTATAATGCTGAATCCAAAATATTTGCGGATAAACAATTTTTAGGGATCCCTACTCATGATCTACTTAGATATTTGGGCACCCGAAATTTTCTTAAAAATACAGAGGTTTTAAAAAAGTAGCAAAAGTGCTAATATTACCCAGACCACTTGGGAATACAGTGGTCGGCCGTCACATTAGGACCACACGTTTTTTTTTACAATTTATTTCAAATAGATTGCTTAAACCCACATATGATAAAACAAATATGACATTTTTTGTTACATAACAATTTAATTCTATTCTTAGTAATATTTATTAAAAATTTTATCAATTGGCAATTCTAGCTGTCAGCAATCACCTATCATAATCAAATTGGTGCATATTGGACAATTTAAGGTTATTTTTAGTTGCTAGTTTGATTGAAGTTTTAATGTGATTTATTTATTTTAAAGCATCTGTGCTTTATTTAATTCATTTTTATTTTTAACTTAATAATAATCATTAAGTCATTATCTTTAAATAAAGGATTTTATGTGTTTTTTCTGTTTAAAGGCATTAAAGTCATTTTTTAAAGTCCTTTATTTAAATTTTCAGCTATAGAGAAAAAAATATGATACAACATCAACAAAAATTAGTCAAATCAGATATCTTTTACAAAATACAAAATATTCTCAGTGAAAAATTGCACAAATTGTATGGTTTCTCACCAAACCGTGATGCGAGTGAGAAAAAAACTGATACAGAGAAGAGTTTGGTCCAAAAAGAGCACCTTCTAAACGCAAAACAACACCAAGAGTGGACTGTATAATCAGAAATATCTGCCTGAAAAACAGAAAAAAACCATAAACCGTATTGACTAAGTTTATCCATGAAGCTGGAATTGTTGTTTTAGATCAGACCATTTGCAGAAGGCTGAAAGAAGAGGGAATGGCAGATTGGTCTAAAATGTTAAAAAAATTCAAAAAATGTCAAAACTTTTATATTTATGCAAAATGTTGCAACTTGCCACACAGCAAAAAGTGTTATGGCTTCTTTAAAAAAAAAAAAAAATGGATGTATTGCCATGGCCAGGCAACTCACCTGATCTTAACCCCATAGAAAAAATTTGGGAAATAGTAAAGAGAGAGATTGGAAAAAAAATTCTTACTAATAAGCAAGATCTTATGGAAGAGATTATCAGGATCTGGCACAATAAGCCAGAGTTGACAGAAACTATAAAAAAAATCAATTACAAGCATGCCACAATGCATCGAAGCAGTTATTGCAAACAAAAGCAGTTTTACAAAATATTAATATTTTATATATATTTTATATAACTTGTTGCAATAACCAATAAATATTCAAAATGTTTAATTTTATTTGTTTATTTTTTATCAAGTATAAATTTATAAATAAAAAAAAAAAACCTTAAAATTGCAACATTATTTTTCTCTTTACTTAAAAATTCATTTTTAGAAAATATTTACAGCTGGTCCTAATGTGATGACCAACCACTGTATATATATATATATATATATATATATATATATATATATATATATATATATATATATATATATATATATATATATATATATATATATATATATATATATATATATATATATATATATATATATATATATATACACACACACACACATATATAGACACACACACACACACACACACACACATATATATACACATATATGCACTGGCACAAAAACAATAGTTCGTTTTTTTTTCAATTTTATTTATTCCAACCTTTAAACAATAAAAATTCAAATTTTTTGAATTTAAATTACAGAAAAATATTTAGAATTGTGAAAATATTAAAATTTTTTACTATATTTTGTTTTTATTCAAAAAGCAATTAAAACCTCTGTTATTATAGGACTTTAAACTAGGTAATTTCAATGAAAAACACTGGGTAATTTGAGCATGCTCATATTACACAAAAATGGTGTCTTTAAATAAAGTCAAAATTAAATGTTTCTATGCATTGTTTTTCAAACAAAAATAGATTTGTTTTTTAGCAAATATATTTTTCTTTATGAAAAAATTAATTTCATTATTTTAGCACCAAAATTTTGCGCCACAGATTTATTTATATGTGATGATATTATTTTAAAAACGCAAAAAATTTAACAGCTTTTTAATTATATAATAGCCGCTAATTACTACATATAAATTTACGGTAATTGTACTGATTCCTGTTATCATCACGTATAGTTGATTTGAAAAATACAAAGCAACTTTAATTTGACTGCTTACACCTAAGAAATCTTTAGGTATGCTCATATTACTAAGGTGCTTGTATTACTCTAATCTATCCTACGAGGGAGGTCAAGCCATAATTCATTTGTTCATATATTGCGCACTATGTGAGCAACACAGGATATATGAACAAATGATAATCTTTTTTTTTTTTTTTTGTAGTGCTAAATTGATTTTCCTTATTTTTTTCTATATCAAATTCCAAATAGTTACAAACAAAAGTCACAACATCTGTATTAATACTGGTCGCATGCATACTTACCTAATTAGGATATTCATATAACCTGAAAAAGAGATTTTTTTCAGGATATATGAATATCCTAATTAGATAGGTATGCATGCGGCCAGTATTAATACAGATATTGTGACATTTGTTTGTAACTATTTGGAATTTGATATAGGAAAAAATAAGGAAAATCAATTTAGCACTACAAAAAAAAAAAAAAAAAAGATAAATATCAATAATTGTTGTTTAAGGGACTTTTGAATGACTTGAACATCTAAGAAATAACAAAATCTATAAGAAATAAGAAATGTTTTTAAAATTAAATTAAAGTTTCTTGTTTTGCAATTATTGACTCAACAATGATGAGTTAAAAGTGAGACTTATTTCTCTGAAAAATATTGCAGAAGACTTTAATTATATGACTGGCAAAGTATTTCAATTTTTTGCAATTGAAGATTTAGAATGTTTTATTATCAGGCAAATATCCTGAAATTAATAAAGAGCAATTTATAACTGAAATTAAACTTTATAACTGATTTAAACACTAAATGATGGAACTATTGCAAATAAAAAAACAAAATAAAAGAACTATTGAAAATAAAAAATGTTTTATTTAGACCTTCTTAATGTTCTTGCTACAGAAATTACAAGAATTATAACAGAATTTTATTATATTTGGTCTTAGCATAAAAAGACAAAATAAATTAGTTGAAAAAAACAGACATTATCAAGAATCATAGATTGTCTAAATTTTTGTGGTGTAAATTGCTCAAAAGAGGGCACAAAAAGTCTAGAAATTACCCCTAAATATATTATAAAATATCCAGGATTCACTCCTAAATATATTATAAAAAATTAAAGCTGTCAAATACCTAATCAAATATGATAAATAATCAAATGACAAAACTATGTTTTTTTCTATGTTTTTTTTTTTATTACAATAATGGAAAAAATGATATTCTAATATTTCAATTTCATTTTATCAGAATACTAAACAAATACTAATATCAATTATAAAAAACACTGAAATTCAATTGTTTACAACTTTGAAAAACAAATTTATAAAAAATTGTTTTGAGATTTTGACAATTGTTGTTTTCAAAATAATTTTAAACAAAAAAAAGTTTTCAAAATCTTTATATCGTTTCATTACTTTTGAGTACCATGATATACTTTTACAAAATTGTTTCTTTATTTAATATTAAAATCTCTGTATTTTTTTCAATAAAGGTTGGGGAGATATCATTCAACCCATAAACCTTAATAGTTTCCTGAAACTCATAAACACAACACATAAACTTAATAGTTTCCTGGATCATTACAAAATAAAACAACATTTTGTTCTAGCCTTAATTTCCCAACTTTAAATTTAAAAATATAGCTTGTAGTTAATCTTAAATGTGTAATTTTAAAATTTTAGATAAAAGAATTTTGTGTTTATTCTTGTTTGATTTGTATAATAAATACCTTTTTTACCAGCTGCGGTGCCAGCTATAATGCACCCTGTGGATGTTTTAGCCACCACACTAAACAACAAACCAAAGAAATATTAAAAAATTCAATGATTCAAAAAGTATACCAAAAATCATCTTTTTCTCCTTTAAAAATTTTTTTTCCTTACATAATTCCACATCCAGTACCAACTGCTTGATGCACTCTTGATCGAGAAATAAGTGGTTTAATATTCAAATGATCCTCAATATATTTTGCTGCGCTTTCTGCCATCTCTATTCCAACCTTGTAATAATAATTATAATAATATGTATAAAGTAATAATTTAAAAGTATATATATATATATATATATATATATATATATATATATATATATATATATATATATATATATATATATATATATATATATATATATATATATATATATATATATATATATATATATACACACACACAACTACAATGTAATAATATTTAATAAAACCTAATAATAATACAATAAAAATAATACCAAAAAAATTAAAAATTTCCATACATAATTTTATTGCACAAAACCTCTGCAACAAAAATTGGCTTAATTTTTTAAATAAACTTTTTTGGCATAGTATTTTATAAACAATTTTTATTTTATTAACAATTATTTTCTTCTGAAAAATTTATATAAATGAATAAAACATTTTGCCAGTTTATATCGCCTGTTTTACTTATTGTCACAATGTTAAATTTTCAAACAACACAAACAAAGAAAAAAGCATTATTTTACAATGATAAAATACTACTTGGTTTTTATTTCTGTTTTTTATTAACTTTCATGAAAAATTTACAATTACTAATCTCCCCTTACTTTGTCTTGAAGAGCACCTGCAACATAAACTTTTCCATAAATTTCAGTAATTTTACCAAAATCTACCATATTCACAGACTTGAAATGTTGGGCATTGTTTACAACTACATTAACTTGTCCACCACCTTTTGGATAAAAACCCCTAGCATGCATTGCAGCAATTATATTGTTAAAAATTAAAACTATTTTTTTATTTAAAATAAAAATATCAAATAAAGTGAAAAAAAAAATTAATACTCAAAAACTATATAAAAACCTTCGAACTAATTCACAACTAAAATCAAGACCAAACTTTGAAGCGATTGGTTGAAATACCTAAATAAAATACTTTTAAAATCTCAAAAATCAAGTAAAATATAAAATCAAGCCAAATAACTCTCAATTATTCAATTAGAAATTGAATTAGTGCAACTACATTATCTTAATGCAATTACATATCATTAACAATGTAATTGTGTAAGCAATAATTTAATTTACAAACAAATTACCTATTTATATAAAACTATAGTTAGGGTAAAAAATACTAACCTCTATGTAGTAGTCAATGGGTGGAGCCATTTCAGCATTTGTACCACCTTTGAATTTGATTTCTGTTCTTGAACCGATAAAAGCAGCACAAGGAATAGATACTTGCATCAAAAGACAAACACTTCTAAAATCAAAAACATTTTTATATGAAAATAAAGAATATGATTATATTATGATTATATTACATAAAAACAACAAATCTTTTTAAATATTATATATATATATATATATATATATATATATATATATATATATATATATATATATATATATATATATATATATATATATATATATATATATATATATATATATACATTAGGCCCTTCAAACAACTTTTTTGAGAAAAACCTGCTCCCACCCCCTAAATGTGTTCTATCTTATACAAAAACACTAGGTTTAAAATTTTTTTGAATAAAAAATATTTTAAGGGGACCATCAAGACCCTCGAATATTTAATCGGTCCCTAATATTTTCAAAAACAAAGTTTTTCAAAAATATGTCAACCTGGTACTCAAATGAAGCAAAATTTTAAAAATTATATTCCTTTTGAAAAAATTCTAACTAATTTATTAAAATTATTATAAAAAATGCTTTTTTTTTATTTTTTGTTAAAAAAATGTAATTTTTATAATAATTAGATTAAAAACAGCAAAAAAAATAATTAGATTAAAAACAGCAAACATTTTATTTTAATTCTAAATAAGATAATTAAAATTAAAACAACAAAGCAAATATTTTATTTAAGTTCTAAACAATTAATGCATAAAATTCATGCATTTTCATGAAAGTATCCGATGAACAAAAAAGATTTGTTGCAATTTAAAATAAACACTTTTTGGCAAGTGTTTTTTTTTTCCTTTGCTAAAGTTATTGTAGGCTAGTGCGAAATGGCTTGAGAACAAAATAGCTAGCAAAATGGAAGAACAAATATATATATATATATATATATATATATATATATATATATATATATATATATATATATATATATATATATATATATATATATATATATATATATATACATATATATATATATTAAAATTTTATTAAATATAAATCAAATATTATACCCTGCTGTTTTTGCATCTGCTTCATAATAACCTGTTTTTAGTTTCTTAGGAGCAAAGTGGATAGTAGTTGAACCTATGTCATCACCAAGCAACTGTCCCTCACATAAATCACGGATCAATCTCAATCATATAAGTAAATATGTAAATATATATATATAAATATATATATATATATATATATATATATATATATATATATATATATATATATATATATATATATATATATATATATATATATATATATAAATGTTTATAAACTCTTTATTTAATGTACTTTTTATTAAATACTTTCTTTATATCTACCAAAATATATGTACAGTTTTACTCATGTAATTCAAATCTTCAGGGCATCTTAAAACATGTTGAAATCTTGAAGGGGTTTAAAAATATAGCTTCAAATCTTTAAGGGGTCTCAAAATATGTTCAAATTACAGGAGTTTTTGAACTAAAGTTTTTTGAGTTCAACTGTGAAATATAAAAATATGGTACCATGAAGATGTTGAGATTTAAGTCCAGGACCTGGTCTATTTGCTCTAATATTAAACACAGTAATATTCTTTCTTAAAAGGCAACTCAAAGCAACTGCATTACGAAGAATTTGACCTCCCTAAAAATAATTTAAAATGAATGAACATGCAGGGTAGCCAAAGTTAATTTTTTTAGATTTTCAAATCAACTAGATATCATAGTAATATTAGACAATTTTAAAATTGTAAAAAAATTTATCAAAAACTTACAAAATTTTCAAAACTCATGTTATAATATTTAAAAAAACAATATTAATTTTTACTTGCTAAATTGCTAGAGTGATAAAAAAAACCTACACCTTCCAGATGACTTCCATCAATATCCAGGTAATCATCCATTAGGATCAAAGTTTATTATTTTTTTCAAAAACTATTTATATAAAATTTAAAGAATATTTAAAATTTATAGCTAAAATTATAAAATTTATATTATACTCTGAATATAGCATGATTAACAACAGTAAAAGTAATAATATCAACAAAAGACAATTATAATCATATTCAATTAAACATAACTTTTTATTTTATAGGTGCATATAAAATTTATAAATAACAAAAATACAAATAGTTAAAAATCTAAAATGTGCATAGAAATTTATTTGTTCTCGCTACATTTAAATGCAAACATAACATCATCTTTATTGACATTAAGACGAATTCTTTGGTAAATGTCTTTATATCCAGGTTCAACCAAAAGAAACTTGCAAGCATTTAAACTAGAACATATTGCAAATGCTTCAGATGCATTTGGAGTAAAAAAACCTTCAACGGAAAAAAAAAAAAAAAATTAAATTTACCAAAATATTAATAATAAATTAAACTTATTCAAATTAAAAGTTTAAAAAAAATATAAATGTATTTAAATATATAAAAAAAATGCATATATTTAAATACATTTATATAAAATAATTATTTGAATATAATTTAAAAAATTTACCTTCAATTTGACAATGTGAACGAAATTGCTCAAACACCTAATAATAATTACAAATATATATATATATATATATATATATATATATATATATATATATATATATATATATATATATATATATATATATATATGTATATATATATATGTATATATGTATATGTGTATATATATATATATATATATATATATATATATATATATATATATATATATATATATATATATATATATTATATATATATATAAGGTTGCCAATTGGTATTGGAAAAGTTCATTCAGTATTTCTTTAATGATATAAAATGAATTTTGAGTGATAAGATAAATATATTTAATACAAAAATGCAATGAGTGGCATTAAAAAAAACATTAAAAACCATTACATTGTTGGCTAACTTATTCTAATTTAATACTTCTGAACCTTAAAACTTCATTTTATCTTATTTTAGATTGTGAATGTTTTAATCTATTTAAAAAAGCACTTATCAAAAATATCCTTTATAGAAAGACTTTCCTTACATTAAAAAAAAGTATTGAAATGGTAAATGGAAATAGAGTCATACTGATAGAAATCTCTTTATTCAGTGTAAGTCTAAAAGAATACAGTTTAAGCCCTATTGAATTAATGAAAATTTTAATCACAAACTTGTGATTAAAATCAAATCATAAACAACAATATTTTTGACAGGAACAAATAAATAAAAAGGCAAAAATAAAACATGGTAAAAAACAAAAAAACAATTAACCAATTAGCAAAATATAGTTATCAAGAAACATAGTTAGCATATTGTATTTAAAAAAATAAACAAAAACAAAAATTATTATTAATCTGACCTCAAAAAAGAGAGCTTCTTCTAAACCTGTTCTGCGAAACTCGCTAATAACTGCTTTCATAAATAAAACTTCCATTGTAGAAAGACTCTGAAGAGCCAAAATCTTTGGAGATGAAAACATTTCTTTAAGAGCTATTTCAACATGTTTCATTCCAACAATTCCTTTTAAAGGATTTTTTTTCTCATTAGACATCTCAGCAATTTCTACTGCTCGTCTACAAATATCGAGGCAACGACGGGCATCTCCAGAAACTGCAGCTACCTAATAATTGTTTAAGCATTAAATTTCATTAAAAAAATAACTATTGATAATAATTTTTTTAAAAGTAAATAAAAACATTTTAAATATACCTTTCGAGCAACTAACTGCAATGCATGCTCTTCAAATGCTTCAATGCCAGTAATTCTTGAAAGAACAATTTCTTGCAGTTGCTTAAAGTTATAAGGTTGAAAAGTAATTCGAGTCAACCCTAATCGACTTGAAACACGATTCATCATTACTCTTTCTGGTAAATCCATAGTGTTGGCAACAGCAAGAATGACAAGACGTGAATGCTGTCTGGCTGGCCAATCAAACAAGTTATACATGACATTTTGCTTACGAGTCCATAACAAATCCAACTTTAATTTTATAAAACAAGAAGACAGTTTATAACTTTTAATAATACAAAACATCTCATCAACAACATGGTTTTGTTTTAAAATACATTACAAAATACAGAATGTCTAACAAACTTTGTTTTTAAATAAAAGCAATGGAAAAACTAAATACACTTACTTCATCAACTAAAATAACAACATGGTCTTTTTTAGGTTCAGGATTGCAAAATTTTTTTTCTAATAGTGATGCGGCATGATCTGGAGTTGCTTTCTGACCAGTTAGTAACTGAAAAATCATCATTTATCTTCAAGTAAATATACATGAAAGACTATATAATTAAAGACAAGACAAAAATATTTTACTTTTAGTATCGCACTATAAGCCTGGTTAGGATTGGTTAGTTTCATTCCATTAATTTCAATAAATTTAAAACATGGAACCATATCAGAATAATCTGATTTCAATCTTCGAATAACTTCATGCACAGTTGCTGTCTTTCCAGTTCCTGGGACACCAGATATATACATACAACTAAAACATGCAATATATACAAAATAAATCCATTTAATTCAAACATATATGTGTTATAAATTCATCCTATCCCAGCAAGCACACATTTTCAGACCAACTTTAAAACTTTGAAACTATAGGACCAATGTGGTGCGCTAGCTGGGATTTGTATCAACCGTAAATATGCCAATTTTAAAAAAAAAGAGTCAGAAAACATAAATAGTATTAGGAGGCTTTTATAATACATTGATCAAGTGTTTGGGCAGGCAGTATCTACATATGAAAAATACACACACATGCAGATAATTTTATGTCATAACCCTAATGTATAATGTAAAAGCCTCTTAGGCAAAGACTATAAGAGTAAACAGAATATTTTTGCTGACCAGCCTCGCACTTTTTTTTTATTTAATAGACTAGCGTAGACTTAAACCACTGTTACACTGTTTCCTGTTTAAGATGATGAAAGCAAAAAAATGAAAAATGAATCTTCTTAACTCTACTCAAGAGTTTTTGCTTGTGTCTCCTTGTGGTAGTGATTATGTTAATGCAGTTTTCTAATGAGGATTGGGCTCTAAAAGCTTAATTTAGTAGCTCTGACGCTACTGGTAGTAAAATCCCCCCCCCCCCCAAAAAAAAAAAAAAATAGCTTTTACCTAAAGTAACATCAGTCAATATTTTGTTTGTTTCATTTAAAATATAATCATTTTCATAATGCAGATTAATAGGTACATCACTAATATACGTTTTTATATATAGATATACTGTCTATAAAAAACTAACTTATGTTTTTACAAACACACATACACATATATATAGACGATATTTCAATAAATATACATTTGGAGTCTTTTTTGCTGACATTTATATGTGTGCATGTTTATAAATATATATGTATGTATGTATTTATGTATAAATAAATATATACACACACACACACACACACCTACACACACACACACACACACACAAACACACACACACACACACACACACACACACACACTATGTATCTAAAGATTTAATTTCCTTTAATAAAAATGAAGAGAAGTGGAAAAAAAACAAACAAATGCTGCCTCAACCTAATTGATGTAGCAGCACTCCCTTGTATGTTCAAACTATAAAGCTAGTTATTGTATGCACATAAGCCCGCACAGCTACCTATTTCAGTATGACATTATCAGTGCTCATCATATATATGATCATCAATGCTGCATTCATTTAAGTAGACAATATTTAATGTAGAATGTTATTTAAGGTTATGTCATACTCAAAGACAAAAGTAGTAATGGAAAGTAATAAAACTAATTTAAAAAAATTAATCTTGAAATAAATGTGAAAGAGTAAACAAATTTTTTTTTCAGTGGTTGTATTAACTGTTTTTCAATTGTGTTTGTATTTTGTTGGCAACATGTAACTATTTCAAAAATATGTTTAAAATATTATAGTTATAAAAATTATTTTTATTAACAAAAGTACTTTATTTATGTTGGTTTTGTAATTCATAGTACTTTCCTCCATATGATAAAAAATGCATCATACAAAAATATAATTATCAACATGAATTTTATTGCATAGTCAAACTTATCTAACCCAGGATAATTTAATCTTTTTTGTTAATTTTAACAGATACAATACACAAAGAATTTTTTTTTTCAATTTTTTTAAACACACATACTAATTTATTATCAATATGTGTTGATATCTTATGTTTTTTACATTTAATGCTTTGAATAAAAAAGTTAAAGCACATTTTAATTTTAATTAAAAACTTTGTGAATTAAAAGTTTTGACGCTTTTGTTCTTGCAATTTACACAATGAAGAAATAATATTTAAAAATTTTGATTCTATAATTTTCATTAACTTTCATGATAAACCCTGTAAGTAAGAGACCAACCAATTATTTGAAAAACTTTGAATTAGAATTTAAAATCTTTTGTTTTGTAACTTAAAAAAAAAAGTAACTGAAACACCAATACTACTGATATTGCTTTTAAACAATGACTTCCAACAATTGTTTTAAACAATGTCGTTCAACAATTTCTTATATACAATGACTTCCAACAATTGTTTGTAAGCATTTTTTGAAATATGAAACAAATGTTTATATTTCAAGACAATTTGATAAATAACACTAATGATGTAAATAAATGAATGAATGATTGATTAATGAACTAATGAATAATATTAAACTAATGAACTAATTGAACTAATGGATAAATAAATGACGCTAATGAAACTAACGATGATTGTATTTTAAAAGACATTTTTTAGAAAGAGGGAAAAAAACCTTTTTCTCTCCTTCTAAAGAATGGCTAGGCTCCTAGAGTTGCATATCTAGATAAGACCAAACGCATTTCATCTGGCCTTGGAAATTGACTAAAATTACAAATGACCTAATATGAGTTTTGCTACTTTTTCATTAACCACAAACAATAAACTTTTCTTTTATTTTTCTGTAAATTATTAGATCAGCAATACTTTTTGTTGCAAGATATGAACTGATTTCAGTGGATATTGTCTATAATAATTGCAGGGTAACATAAGTAATGTAGCACAAGTTAAATATATAGTATTAAAAAAGCAAATTTATTTTCATTAGTAAACTAATTCTAATAGAACTATTTTGTTTTTTTGTTTTCTTGTTTTCCAGCCTGCTAGAAAGCAACATCTGTTACACCTATTTTCAAAAATTCTTCAAGTAACTACCACCACATTAGTCTTCTTCATATCATAAGCAAGGTTTTTTGAATCTTTAATTAAGAAACACATAATCTCTTATTTTGAATCTAATAACTAACTTTTTGATCATCAATATGGATTTCAATCTTCTTGTTCTACAGCTGATTTGCTAAGAGTAATAAGCCATAAGTTTTATTGTGCATTAGATAGATGTGGAAAGGTTAAAGCTATTGCTCTTGACAAGCTTTTGATAAAGTTTAGCATGCTGGTCTTCTCCATAAGCTTTCTTCTTATGGTTTATCAGGTAACATCTTTAAGATTATTGAATCCTTCCTTTGCAATTGTAGTATAAAAATTGTCCTCAATGGACAGCACTCTTCTTCATATCATGCAACTTCAGGGGTTCTTCAAGGTTCTTTCCTTGACCCTATACTCTTTTTAATATACATTACCGATTTTACAGATATTCTCACATTTAAGGTGGTATTGTTCGCTGATGATACTGCCATTTATTCTTGTCTTAAAAAGAAGCTAACACTCTCTGATTGTTTGGAAGGAACATTTGAGCATGAAAAGGATCTCACTTCTGCTACAGCATGGGGCTCACAGTGGCTGGTGAACTTTAATTCAAATAAAACTCAATTTTTTTCAGCCAATAATTATAACAATAATTTAGATCTTCCTACATTTATGAACCGTAATGCACTCGATGAGTCATCAACCCTTCATCTTTTAGGATTAACTCTCACTTCCAATCATTTTTGAAAACCACATATCAAATCCATTGCAAAATTAACATCTGCTAAGGTTGCACCTCTTTATTGTGCTCGAGACTTTCTTACTCCAGATTCTATTCTTTATCTCTTTAAACCTCAAATCTGTCCTTGGATTAATTTTGCCATATCTGAGGCGGATCTTCCAATGATGCCCTTTCTCTTTTAGACAAGGTACAAAAACACATTGTAAACTTAGTTGGACCTGCTCTTGCAGCCAAACTCCAACCATTATCACATCATCATAATGTTGCTTCTCTTTCTCTTTTCAACAAATACTATAATGGGCACTGCTCTAAAGAGCTAGCGTCTCTTATGTCATCTACTAAAATTCAGTCTCGTGTTACTTGCCATTCAATAAGTCTCACCCTTTTTCTGTGACTGTTCCTAAGTGCTCCAAAAAATTTGTCTATTGTTTTTCTCGAGTATTGAATTTACAACATAATGTTAAAAGTTTCAATACAATTCACAATACCCAATTGCAAAAATTCAACCTAAAAATTTAAATCTTTTTTTTACTTGCTTTTTTGCTTTTTTTTGTAGCATAAGTTAAACAGTATTTTCAGTCCTAAATCTAAAATCTTTTTTAAATTAAAAATAATTGATTTTTAATTTAACAAAGAATGCAGAATTTATTATTATCAGCATTGTGATGTTAAAATATTTCCTGATGAAACTCATCTTTTACGTTGCCATAATAGATAGGTAGTTTTTCCTCCTTTTTACCATTTCTGCAAGCTTTACAAGATTTATTTACAGGGAATTATATACACCATAATTCCAATATGAGTTTTTCAAAATATATCAGAAATTATAATCCCTGATAATTAATCTTTCTTTTGCTTCATTTAAAGTTAATGTGGTTACAAAATTTTTTTTACTAGATGTAATCAAGAAACAGTGACAATGCCTTTTTATGTTTCATAGTTTAAAGTTATATGTTTTTTTTTTTTTTTGTTAAGTTATGTAAATATAAATAGTTTAGTGTAAGCAAAACTGTTGTAATGTAAACATAACTGTTGATTTAAAGGGTATATTCTTCCAACTTTTTTTATCACACTTGCTTTATCAGTCATAACATCAACGATAACATTTTTCAAATCAGGTCTATGTTGCAAGCATTTTCAGATTTTTTCAGATAATTTCAAGAATCTAGAAATTATTTAGTTACGCATAAACCAAAATTCTTAAAGTCTGCGATTGTTAAAATCATTTTCCTTAAAAAGTCTAATATAATAAGAGGCTGTTTATTGTCATTCTTACATAGATATTAATGAATTTATATTCATAAATATTGAATATTTGTTTATTTTAAACTTGTTTTTGATTTTAAAAATAAGATTCATTAAAAAATATTTAAAAACTATTATTTCAGTCTAACAACTCGCTTTTGATCTGAATTGGTAGATATATAGTGAGACTTTTACATTATTTAAATATAAAAATACAGAGACTTGTAGCCTTCTACAGGTCTCTGTTCACTAGGTCATGTTGCTCTTCACTAGGTCATGTTGTCTAGAACCACTAGAATGTAAGTAAAATAAAATAGCAAGATAAAAACTAATTAAGAACAGAAGATTAGAAGCTTTTTAAAATCATATGATTGAAATTATACAACTATATATAAGTTATTTATAAAATTATGTAAAAATGATTCACAAATATACTTATATTAGGGACTTTAGTCACATGAATTTTATTGCGGAAAAAATAACTTTGTTTGTTTTTGAAAAACTTTGTCCAAAAAAAGCAAGAAATTTTTTTCTTTACTTTTGCTATTTTAGATAAAAATTTTTACAAGAAAACACTATATTGTCTTTTCTGATAAAACTTCAATTTTTTTTGAGGAAAAAACCTAATTCAAATCTTTTAAAAAAAATCTAATTCTATTTAATTTAAGCCTTCTCAAAAAAAAAATTTTACATCAAAAAAATTAAATCATTATAAAGCAGATTAATCTTGAATTTTTATTTTTTGTAAAAAAATATGTAATAATGTCAAAGCAGTTTCTTGATGAAAACAACAACAACAACGATAACATCAACACCACCACCAATAATAAACAACAACATCAACAAAAACAATAAACAACAACATCAACAACAACAATAACAACAACACCAACAACAACAACAACATTAACACCAGCAACAACAACAATAACATCAATAACAACAACAACAACAACGCCACCACCAACAACAACAATAACAACAACACCAACAATAACAACACCAATAACAACAACAACAACAATAACAACAACACCACCACCACCAACAACAACACCAACAACAACACCAACAACAACAATAACAACAACTTTTGTATGTTTGTTTTATCACTTGTTAAGATTTCGTTTCTCTTTTCAGTTTATGGTTAGCTTATTTTTAATTTTCTCTTCAGTTTAGTTTGGTTCTGCACATTTTTAAAACACAAATTATCAAAGCATTGTTAGTACTGTGGCCAAGTTGTCAAAACAAAATATCATATGCATGGTCAGATAAGAATATTTAAAATAAAAATATTCATTATCTTGCTATTATTAACTGATTTTAACAATTTCAAACGCTGATACTTTTGAATTTTTTGACCTTACAAACAAACAAAACTTCTTAATACCCTGGACTGACACACAATTATTCACAGCGTTGATATATGCATTACCAAACTAGTTACTATATTAATAATATTAATACAGTTTTCATTTTGCTATTTGAGATAAGAAATTTTACGAGAAAACACTATATTATCTTTTCTGATGAAACATGAATTTTTTTGGAGGAAATAAATTTAAATCTTTTTTAAAAAAATTTAATCTTATTTAATTTAAGCCTTTTTAAGAAAATTTATAAAATTTCCTTGAAGAAACAGGTTAGAAAATAATGTTTTATGCCTTAATGTAATTGATCTCGACCATGTTTCTTTTTTTTTTTTTTTTTTTATTAATTTTTAATACAATGATTATTTTAATGACTATACATTTTTCATTTTAACCTTATTAACCATTAATAATTTGTATAAGCTTAAAATTGATTAAGTTCTTAATTTATAGATTTTGATAAGTATGTTTATGTGTTACATGATGTGTTAATAGTTTAT